GCCTCAGCCTCCCAAGGAGCTGGGACCACAGGCACCACCACTATGGCCTGCGTCAAACTCAGCCTCTCTTATGGTTCAAAAATCTTCTGCTATATTGTTAAAATTTTTCAAAGTTACACAAAAGTAAAGAGAACTGTGCACTGAACGCCATGTGCCCATCTCCAGAGTCTGGCCATTATCAGCTCCTGCCCATCAATCTGGTTCCTCTAGGCTCCCCCAACTTCCACCCTCCCAGGACTCCTCTGACGCAAATCCCCACTTTCCTGCTACATCTCTGGTTCGGGACAGCTGGGGGCTTGTGGGAAGCAAGGCTGACCTGTGCTATTACGATCCTGAGAGCGCCCTGAGGGTCTTACCTGCTGCTCACACAGCAGCGTGCTCAGGGCCTGCCGGCAGGGCAGGATCATCATGGGGAAGCCCACGGCCACCGACATCATGAAGCCCACACGGAGCATCTCCGTCACCAGGTTGGAGGGAAAGTGCATGAGCACGTTGCCGGCTGTGGCCTCGGTGAAGCTCACGTAGCCGAAAAATCCCACCTGTTGGAGAATGAGAAATGGCAATGTGGCAGACGGACATCCTAGTCTGAGTGGCACCTGTTGCAGTGGGCAGGGCATGGGGGGGACCTGTGCCCTGCCCCTCAGAATGGCCTTCAATCCACTTCACAATGAAGCTTCTGCAAGAGACGGCCTTCAGGGCCAAAGCACCATTTGGCCTCCTTCTTCTTAAAATCTCCAGTTTCTGTAAGGAACATGCCCACTTCTTTTTCTTTTTTTGAGACGTTTTGTCTTGCACTGTCGCCCAGGCTGGAGTACAATGGCGTGATCTCGGCTCACTGCAAGCTCCGCCTCCTGGGTTCACACTATTCTCCTGCCTCAGCCTCCCAAGTAACCAGGACTACAGGCGCCCACCACCACGCCCGGCTAATTTTTTGGTATTTTTAGTAGAGACGGGGTTTCACCGTATTAGCCAGGATGGTCTCGATCTCCTGACCTCGTGATCTGCCCGCCTCGGCCTCCCAAAGTGCTGGGATTACAGGTGTGAGTCACCATGCCTGGCTTTTTTTTTTTTTTTTTTTTTTTTTGAGACGGGGTCTCCCTCTGAAGCCCAGGCTGGAGTGCAGTAGTGCAATCTCGGACTCAGTGTACCTCTGCCTCCCAGGTCCTGGTTCAAGCAATTCTCCTGCCTCAGCCTTCCGAGTAGCTGGGTTTACACACATGCACCACCACGCCCAGCTAATTTTTGTATTTTTAGTAGAGACGGGGTTTCACCATGTTGGCCAGGCTGGTCTTGATCTCCTGACCTCGTGATCCGCCTGCCTTAGCCTCCCAAAGTGCTGGGATTACAGGCGTGAGCAACTGCGCCCGGCCGAAATATGCCCATTTCTAGAGAGAATTAACAGAGGTCTTGCAGAGACGGTAAGAGTGGCTCGGATAAAGTGCCCTGGGAGCAGCCCTGGTGCCCGGCTCCTCAGGTCAGGAGAGCTTCCTGGCCCAGGGTGGACCCACGCTCACGGGGCTGGTCCTGGAATCATGGAAGCTGATGGAGCTGCCCCAGGTCCCCGCGCAGCCTCCAGACACTGGGATGGGAACACAGAGAAGAATCTGGCAGCACACAGGGCCAGGGCCGTGCCTGTGACAGTCCCGGGGGCACCGCAGCATGTCATGCTGGCATGACACAGGTGTGGAGGGGGCATGGCAAGGCTCTTACCATGACGTAGAAGGTGGTGACCACATTGAGGGAGGAGGCAAATATGGAGCTCATGGTTTTCACCGACGGCTCATCCAGGCTGTCGTACGTGGGTAGCACCTGGCTGTATAGAAACAGGCCATTTCACAGCAGACCCGAGAGAGGCACGCCCTCCCCCGCGGCACCACTTCCAGGACCTCTCTGCAGCCCAGCCGAGAGCCTCTGACCTTCCTCATGCAACATCTCCACACACTGAAGTCCCAGCGCTGAAGCCAGGATTTCGTGATGCTGAGGACGGGAGCGCTGCAGCAGTCCCCACTCAGGACACCCCCCAGAGTGTGCGCCACACGAACGTTCCCCAAGGCTAGGACGACAGGCTGCTGCTCCACGCCAGGGAGCGGGCGCTGAGAGTCAAAGCAGCCAGTTTACAGGGGAAGCAGCCGGAGGAGGCTGCTCAGAGAATCGCTGTCAAAAGGAGAGAAAGTGAAACAAACACCCTGGCCCGGGCGGCCGGCCCATCTCAGCGCCGCCATCTCCGCGCCTCCGCACAGGAATGATCAGAGTCGGCACAGACAAGGAGACGGCCTGGGGCGCGATTCCCTGCTGCAGCCTCTCACTTGTGTGATGAGAAAACTGGCTTCGGTCCCACGGCCTAGTGCCAGGAGTGTGGAGCTGCTGGGGGTGGGAGGGACCCAAGCCACCGGCCAGGCAAGGACATGACAGCCCTGAACAGGCAGCAGACCCATCTGAGGGATGTGCACAGGGACCTGAGCCCCTGGAGAGGGGTGGGCAAGACAGGAAGGGAGAGGCTGGGGCCATGGAGCATCTGTGTGCAGACGGGGAGAAGGGAGCTAGGCCAGGTACACGCCAGAGCACTGAGAGCCACTCTGCCACGGGGCTGAGCAAGGACTCTGGAGTGGGAGTCCAGGCAGGTGCTCCTAGGGTGTCCAGGTGGCCATGGCCATGGCTGTCCCAAGGCAGGGGCTCAAGGGCACAAAGGAAGCTGGGTGGGCCAGGGGCAGGGCGGGATGCAGAAAGCCAGCAGCCAGTAAACGGACCAGCATAGCGGCCAGCGGAGCCAAATCCCAAACCGCCTTGAAGAAAGTGAAAGAAAAATAGGACGTCCTGACTTTATTAACAATCAAACCAGGCCAGGCACAGTGGCCAACGCCTGAATACCAGCACTTTGGAAGGCCGAGGCAGGAGGATCACTGGAGCCTGGGAAGTCGAGGCTGCAGTGAGCGGTGATCGCATCACTGTACTCCAGCTTGGGTGACACAGCAGGACACCGTCTCCAAAAAAAGGAAAAGAAAACCCAGCAGACTGACAAGGACAAGTGAGAAGGCCCCGCCAGCGGCCGCCGGTGTCCTGCTGCCCAGGTCCTAGCACAGCATCCCATCGGGCTGCCCTCATCATGGAGTCCCATCAACAGCAGTCAGGGGGCCCCACAGGACATGCGCCTTCCCCTCAGCCCAGGCTACAAGGGAGCTAAGTGGCCAGTGCCTGTGCACACAGCCCCAGGAGGCCGGCAGAAAAACAGGAAAAACACAAGAGGTCTCCACGGCCCCAGACCCACAGCCTCAGGACTTCCCAGTGCTGAACTGTCCTCTGGCTGGAGCTGAGTCCACACCAGGGAGTCTCGGCTTGAGGGGACCAGCGTTGGTGTCCCATGACACGTGCTTACCCCCATCCCCCAACACACACTGTGGGGAGTGACCCCCAAGGAAGCCACGGACACTGTGGGAAGGGGTGTCCCACGCACATGGGGTGGCCAGGGTGGAAGGCCAAGCCCCAGGCTCCTCTCCAATCCTGACCACCTACCCCAGGGACCCCCAGGATCATCCCTGGAAAGAAACAAGGTAGGAGCCACAAAACCTCCTGGCCACCTGCAAAGGAGTTCCACAGACTGGGGACGTCCTGAGCGCTGGCCCACGGCCCCAGACAGAGTATCCCTGGCCCGCCCACCTCGCAAGGCAGCCTCTGAGGCTCAGGGCCTACCGGAGTCAAGTAGAGCTCTTGGGTGTATGGCCCTCTGCCCCACTGTGAGGATGGAGACCCCAGTTTCCAGACAGACCCTGCCCTCCAGGGCCTCCTGGGCTCAGTGCTGCCCCGGCTGCTTCTCTGGGCCTAGGACAACCGTTCTGCATAACTAGGTATGCATTTACCAGAAACGGCCAGACAGTGAAGGCACAGGGAAGGCCTGGTCCCAGCTGGCATCCAGGCCAATCACACAGGCAGGGGGCGCAGCCGGCCACCCCAGCAGGGACAGGCAGTCTGGCGTAGTGATGCTGTGGGAGGGAAGAGATGTCTCTGCTCTCAGCAAACATTCCTGGGCTCAGGGGTGGGGAGGTCAGCGTGGTGGTCAGCACAGGGAGGGATGTCCCTGCTTGGGAGAATGTCAGGTGAATCTGTGGGCCCATACGTCCTCGGGGAGGGGCAGAAGGAAAGCTGCACTTGGTGAGCCACACGCTGCAGCACTTTAGAACGCGGCACCTGACCTCGGAACCAGACCCGAACGAGGTGCACTGGCTGCTACGTGGCCACCACCAAAAACCCCCAGCTGCAGATTTATTTCTAAATACGCAAACACGCAGACACAAAGGGCAACTGGTAACTAGGTACGCAGCGGAAGAATGTGGCTTCTGTCACCGATCATAATGGGATATTAAACAGCAAGACTGGGGCGCGTTCTGGTGGAGACGGAGCTGCCAAGAGAGACGCTAAGTGGGAAATGACGATTTGGATCTCGCATGTGGGTGTAAACACAGCGGTATGAACAAATTTCATCTGTCACATTAGTTTACGATTGGCTCAATGCATGCCCACTAACGCTACAGGGGCCGCTCTGCCAGCCCCCCGCACACCGATGGTCTTTTCCCGTCCGCACCGGATTTACGCCTCTCTTTTCAGCCGGTTACCATGTTCCAACCGGGCATGAATCACTCGCTCTTGTCATTTTGGTGGAGAAGGTAATGCTGCTGGAATTATGGAAGAGCCCGACCCGCATTTACAGAGCTCTGCGTGCCAGAGAGAAAGCAAGCTCGCGCGTACATGCAGGCCTCCAAATGCATCCAGCAGCCGTCTGAAGTCAATGTTTGTGCAATTTCCTTTTAAATATTCTCAGAACAGCTAAATTCTGGCAAAACGCTCAGGACTCTGTGCAGTCAGATGGCTGGGCTGTTGCTGCATCCCCCACAGCCAACGCTCTGCTTGTGGGGATCTGGCAAAGCAGGGACTCTCACCAGCTAGTCCCAAACATGTCCCAGGAATAAAGCCGATTTGCCTCCCAGTTAAAATACAACTATCTCCCTCAACCTGTGGGGGAAAGGCCATCACCGAACAAGACATCACTCTTCAGCAGCCAGCGAAGAGGGACCACACATCTCCCAGCAGCTCGCCCCCCCCATCACAGAGCCCACCTCCACCACGGGCCACAGCAGGACACTTACGACTGGCAGGCGAAGGACATGCCGAAGATCGGGATGCAGCGGAAGACGCCCTCCCAGCGGACATAGCTGACCCGCTGCAGCCACTGCCCACTGAAGAGGCCGTGCTTGAGAGAGGAGAGCACAATCTGCAGGGGTAGCGGGCAGAGAGCACGGGGCAGGTCAGGACGCGGGCGGGACTCAGCAGCCTGGCCCACACGCCGCTGGGAAGGAGTGGCAGGAGAGTGCAACTCTTCCCACCCACATCCCAGCCCCCCACCACCCTGTGCTGCCAGTCGGAGGCACGGAGACCCCACGCCTTTCTGGATTCCCAGTCCCTGCCTCAGAGCGCCCTGGTTCAACCTGTGGGCACCAGAGCAGCTGCTCTTGCAAAGGGGCTGCTTGGCGCAGACAGGAGGAGACCACTGAGCGTACACGGCCCCATCGGTTACAGACGTCGGTTTCCCACGTGGGCAGGTCCCACCCCATCCTGTACTATGCTAGACACGGACATCTTCCAAAAGACTGGCCCACCAAAGACGTGGCTATCTCAGGAGTAAAGAGGTAGCTGCCACCGGGCTGGCCCTCACTCGGAGAGCTAAGGAGCACTGGAGACCCTGGCTTCAATGACCACCTGCCCTCGTTCTGGCGCAAACCCGCTGTGAGACACCAGATTCCAGCTGCTCAGGAAGGGTCATTTCTGATTTTGCCAGGGAACAGGCAGGTCCCAGGGGCTTGGGTCCTGGGGCTCCTAAGGGCAGGGGCCTGGCAGAGAATGGAGGGTGTGCTGGGGGCTGTGGGTGGTATCCGTGTTCTCAGTGCCAACTCCACAGCTGGCCCCTGGTCCATCCTGTTATAATCTGTCACTTAGAAAAATAATAGTGGCTGGGCGCGGTGGCTCACGCCTGTAATCCCAGCACTTTGGGAGGCCGAGCCAGGTGGATAACGAGGTCAGAAGTTCAAGACCAGCCTGGCCAAGATGGTGAAACCCCTTCTCTACTAAAAATAAAAAAAATTAGCCGGGCGTGGTGGCAGGTGCCTGTAATCCCCACTACTTGGGAAGCTGAGGCAGGAGAATTACTTGAACCTGGGAGATGGAGGTTGCAGTGAGCCGAGACTGCACCACTGCACTCCAGCCTGGGCGACAGACTGAGACTCCATCTCAAAAAAACAAACAAAAAAAACCCACAATAGCTTGCCACCTTGTGTCAAAACACTGGCATTGGGCCTGGTGCGGTGGCTCACGCCTGTAATCCCAGCACTTTGGTAGGCTGAGGCGGGTGGATCACGAGGTCAGGAGATCGAGACCAGCCTGGCTAATACGGTGAAACCCCATCTCTACTAAAAAATACAAAAAATTAGCCAGGCGTGGTGGTGGGCGCCTGTAGTCCCAGCTATTTGGGAGGCTGAGGCAGGAGAATGGCGTGAACCTGGGAGGCAGAGCTTGAAGTAAGCAGAGATCGTGCCACTGCACTCCAGCCTGGGCAACAGAGCGAGACTCCTCAAAAAAAAAAAAACACTGGTGCCATAAGCCTCGGTCACAAACCCTACATAAGACATCTTTGCATAAGCAAGTGGACTTGGCGTTTCCTTCCCCTTGCCTGGACGACATGAAACCAGCCTCAGAGCCACCCCTGTCCGGAGCCCCATCCTCTCCTGCTGGCCAACCGCACCTAGGTCCAGCCAGCCCCGTCTGCCCAGTGGTGCCCAGGGACCGTGAGATGAATGGCACTTCCTGGCACATCCTGCTAATTCCAACACATTCCCAGGAGGTAGCAGGTGGCCACACCAGACCTGGGCATGCTGTGACCACAGGAAAGACTGGGCCAGGAGCAGCCTTTCAGCGGGTGCCTGCACGCACCGCAGACTCACCACGAACATGAACACGGTGTAGAAGAGGAGGGCCATGGCGCTGAAGGACTGGATGGAGGCCATCATGTTCCGCTGCAGGCTGAGTGGGAGCACGATGCACAGTGACACGGCGAACAGCAGGAACATGCGGAAGGTGCCGCCCACCTGCAGGGAGCCAGCAGGGGTCTTGGCCACAGCCCGGACCTGCTCACCACCCGGCTCTCTGCACTGCCAGGGAGCGCGAGCATCCTGAGCCCGAAAGCCGACGGCATCCAGGTGAACAACGCCGGCAGGTCTGAGGCTGGCACGCTCGCCTGGAAGCTGCTCTCACAGCCGCTGTGCTGTGTGCAGCCTCGGACACTGGGCATTTCCCTTCCCTGGAGCCCAGCCCAGCCCCAGAGCGAGAACAGCCAGAGCAAAAGGACAGCAGCCCCCATAACACGGGAGGCAACACAGAGCTGCGGGTCAGACTCAGCTGCCCTGGGCACAGGGCGGGAAAGGTACAGACTGCCCTGTGGGCAGGACAGGCCCAAAGCTCTATCTACAAAGGTCACTGAGAAGCACGGAAAACAGAAGGTCGAATGCGGAGACAGAGTAGAGGGCCTAACTCCCTGGACGCTCCTTGGATCTGTCTCTGACAAGGAGCAAATCTGGTACATTCCACTCCTGGAGAGGACACCCCCGCCTCAGCTGTGGCCTTTGAAAGCCTTTCTATGCTGTTGGCACCTAACGTGCCATGATGCCCGCCCTGCCCAGTGAGGGGCTCTGCTCCCCGGCAGCGAGGGTAAGGTGTGTGGGCCCGTCAGGTGGGCCTCTACATGGTGGGGCCAAGCACGGAAGAGGCTACCCCAAGGTGACTGCAAGAAGTGCTGAGTCCACAGCCCCCGGCAGCGGTGCCTCCGGATCCACCCAGCAGCTCTGGGTAACCACGGAGGCTGGGGATGCCCGAGGGCCTGGCCGCCTCTGCCCTCCAACGGGCAGCCCAGGCTGGCAGAGACTTACTCTTCACTGTGCCCGGGTCTGAGGCTCCCCGACCTGCCCCTCATCTACATGGTGTCAGACTCTGCCTGGCTTGTTTCCTCCCCTGTACTTCTCACAGACGTGACCCAGCAAAGCCCCCGCCCTCCGCCAAGCCCCTGGAATGACAGCAGCCTCAACAGAAGCTTCTCCCGACCAGCATCCTGGTCTCGGTCCTCAGGAGGATCCCACGGAGGTCCTCAGAGCGGCCGTCAGCATCTGAACAACCCAGAACCCTGAACACGTCCTTACCTGAAACCCGAACAGCCGGGCAAAGAAGTTGGACCCCAAGTCGCCAATCACGACGTAGAAGGCGATGCAGGTGCCCAGCATCAGCCCGATCATGCTGCGGGGGGATGGGGGGTGCAGGAAACGCCATCAGGGCAAGCTGGCAAAGCACCTGGCAGCCTCCTGGGACCACCCCAAGGCTGGACTGAATGACAGATGTGGTATCTTTTGTTTTTTTTTTTTTTGAGACGGAGTCTCGCTCTGTCGCCCAGGCTGCAGTGCTAGTGGCCGGATCTCAGCTCACTGCAAGCTCCGCCTTCTGGGTTCCCGCCATTCTCCTGCCTCAGCCTCCCGAGTAGCTGGGACTACAGGTGCCCGCCACCTCGCCCGGCTAATTTTTTGTACTTTTTAGTAGAGATGGGGTTTCACCGTGTTAGCCAGGATGGTCACAATCTCCTGACCTCGTGATCCGCCCACCTTGGGCTCCCAAAGTGCTAGGATTATAGGCTTGAGCCACTGCGCCCGGCCAACAAATGTGATTTCAAACGTGCCTCAGTTCACGGGGTATGGGCAGGTTCTGTGGCGCTCACTATGTCACTTGGAATGCATACTGAGCAACACCCAGCTTTTCTCAATGTGGCATTATACTCGCCTCTCCGCAGAGGCTCTAACAGTTACAAAAATGCTCCATGATGGGCCCAGCACGGTGGCTCACGCCTGTAATCTCAGCACTTTGGGAGGCCGAGGCAGGCAGATCACCTGAGATCAGGAGTTTCAAAACCAGCCTGGCCGACACGGCAAAACCCTGTCTCTACTAAAAATACAAAAATTAGCTGAGCATGGTGGCGGGTGCTTGTAATCCCAGCTACTTGGGAGGCTGAGGCAGGAGAATCGTTTGAACCCAGGAGGCTGCAATGAGCTGAGATCCCGCCGCTGCACTCAAGCCTGGGCGACAGAGCAAAACTCCACCTCAAAAAATTTTTTAAAAAAGCCCCACGATGCTTGTCAAGTTAACAGAACAATCAACTGCTTTCAAAAAAGGCTGTTCTTTGGAGTTTACAATTCCCTAACTTAGAAGCCTAAAAGTGCAATCTCCCGGCAAGTTTTCCATCTCATAATTTTTTTCATCTCATGAAATTTTATTCCAAAGGAAGAACAATATGACATTTGCAATGCAATGGCACCTTCATGCAGCAGTGTGCGGGGGGTGGGTGCGGCATGAAGGAATGGTGTTGAGAGATTACAGCTGAGGGAGGGCTGTTTTCCAAGTTCTTGGCGTTTTCCATATTTAAATTTTTATTACAACACTGAAGGGTACAAGTAATTGGACTTTCGTGTATTTAGTGACTCTTCAGAAACCTAAGTTACAGGTGAATCCGGGAATGAAACTGCTGCTCCCGCCGGGAGGGTCCCCAGTGTCTGGGTGCGGGGGCTGGGGGGACAAACGCAGGGGCAGGGCGGGGCTTACCTGGTCTCCACCAGCATCTTGCCCGCCTTCCCGTAGGCGTGGAATGCTAGCGCAAAAGAAAAGAAAGGAACGCTCAATCCAACAGTGTGAGAAGCACATCCAGAACAAAGGTACTGAGCAAAGCTGTCCGGGGCAATTTCACAGAAACCCGCCGTGGGTCCAGATTCTCCAGGGCAGGAGGGGTGTTTCCAATTCTGACCACCAGGTTATTTTTGGATCTACCATCTGCAAATGAAACTACAAGAAACAAAGACAGAGCAAGGGAAGGACAGGAGGCAGGTTCTTCTTTCACTCAATCAGATTTTTTAAAAGACAGAGAGACAAGTCCCTGCAAAGCACAGTCCTCCCACCCGGTGACCACTGGGGGCCCGCTGGAAACAGCATCCCACAGCCCGGCATGGCCGAACCCCGTGCTGTTGGCCAGAGTCTGCAGGTCCCCAGAGGGGTCAGCGCCGGCCCCAGGTGCCCGAGCAGCACAGCCTGCACCGGAGGGACTCTGAGGAAGGGCTTTCATTTTCACCCTTTGGTTGGGATTTACAGAAACAAACGGAGACCCCGTTCAAGCACGGTGCTTCAGGAAGGGAGGGGACGAGAGCCACGGGCTTGTGGTGTCCACGTGGACAGCCAATGAGGAGCCTTGCCGATGAGGAGCATGCGTCCCCGTCCCCGAAGTCCCCGTCTCCGACGTCCCCATCCCCATCCCTGTCCCCGTCCCCGACGTCCCCGTTCAGCCGTCCAGCCGAACGCGGGAGGAGCCTCCATTCTCTCGCCCTGACAGCGGGATTCTCTGCAGCAGATGAGAAACGGGGCTGACTCAGCAGGGTCCCTCCCAGGCCCCAGGTGGTCATCTGGTGACCCCTGCGCTTCCCCGGCCTGGTGGAGGAGGGCAAAGGGAAGTCCCGGCTCCAAGGCACACCCAGAGATGGGTGCACGTGACAGGATGGCCCAGCACCATCGGCAGCCCCGGCTTCCTGCCCCCAGTTTCCTCCCTCGCACAGGCTACAGGCCTCTGATGAGCTTTGGAAAGCAGGAAACACACAGGCCAGTAAACATGAATGAGTCCAAAAAACACTCATTACTTTAAACTACTTAGGAAGAAGCACAGCACTGCCGAACGCCAGAGCTTGGGAGCAGCAAAGACCCCGCCTCCAGGGCTCACCCTGGCCTTTCCTGGACCTGCCCGCCGGCTCGCTGAAGGAGCCTGGCACCCCTTGAGTTCATCCCACAACACAGAAACCGGAGCCAGGCCCCAGAAGCTGACCTCGGGCTGTGGAGAATTTCAAACACTAAGAACTCCAGAAGCCTCCTCAGCAGCAGCCCACAGCCCAGGGCCCTGCCATCACCAGAAAATGCCCTCCACACCCCTCGGTGACGGTACAGCCCGGAAACAACAAAACCCCACGCTCCAAACGTGGCGGTGCTCCTGGCCATAACGTGCCTTTTCATGCTCCAAAAGGAAGCTGAGTCTCCACAGCGTATTCCAAACACCAGCGCACCTTGCCCAAGATGGTTCCAGAATATGCCTGCCGCTGGCGAGGGAAAATGGAAGGCCGTCTAGGAAATCAGGGCGGCACTCTCTTCCGGTTCCCAGGACAACGTCCTGAGAGCCCACCATGCTGAGACACGGCCCCGCGCCTTCTTTTCCCACCGGGCCAAACCCTCGCTCACCATTCCCAGTGTCAATCCCCCGGCAACTTCTCCCCAGCTTCAAACACCAGCCCCAGTCGGACCCTACTCCTTCGCATCCTGCCTGGACTGGCACAGGGAAAGAGAGGAAGAGGCTGAAGCACCCAGCAAGGTCCCGGGGACCTGGCCCTCCCCCAAGTGTGGACTCCCAGTGCTGGCCCAGCCCCCACCAGGGTGGAGGTGTTTGTGAGCGGCGAGCTCTGAGGCCGCGGCCGCCATGCAGGGTGCACCCTGCCCTGGGTCCAGTCAGATGTCCCCCAGCGCCGGCACAGGAGCCACAGAAGCCCGGACCACCCAATGACGGAACACAGGCAGCACCCCTGACACCGCTGCTCACAACCGAGGACTCAGAGGCTGTGTGGGGGCCAAACGGTTGCTGCTGCTGGGGGAGGCGGTTTCTAGCCCAGACCACGCATGCCGGGGTTCAGGCACAATTCTCAGCAGGACAGGGTCTGGGGCTCAGAACAGCATCACGAGAAGCCGCGACAGCTGAAGCAGGTTGAATGACTGGTGCCTCTGTGTGTCTTCTGAAGAGGGATTTAGAAAAGTCCATGTCCAGGCAAGACACTCAGGGTAAAGGAAGCAGCAAGTGAGCTGATGAAAACGACAAAAACCACCCACAACCAGCAACAGCAAATAGGACAGAGAAATACACAAACACCAACAAGAAACGACACCTCTCCAGGCTGGCACCTGGCACTGGAGGAGAGCGGGGAGGGTTAAGTGACCAGCGGCCACCTCCCTGGGCTACCAACCCAAGGAACCATCACGCCGCAAACCCGTGTCTTGGTGGGGACAGATGCCATTCGGAGGAAACCACCCGGCCATCCCAGGGAAAATAAGTCTCTGTGTGCAAGGACAGGACCCAGCCCGGCGCCTCCTGAAGACTGCAGTGTGGAGCTGCTGTCCACTCTGCACGACGGCCTCGCCTCAGCTCCGGGAGATTCTCATCTTACCCTCCCCAGGGATGCCTCTCCCAGCGCGTGTCTCTCCACTTCTAAGATGAGCCAGGGCAGACTGTGGCTGATGCAGGGCGGCTGGGCCCAGGGGCCTCTGTCCGGAGCTCACACAGTGGAACCTTCATGTTTGGTGTCAAAGGCATAACCTGAGACACGCTTGGTGTTTTGAATCTTGTTTGTTTCTGGCAGGCAGACGTGGACTGCGGTCACCCCAGCCAGTTACAGGCTGGAAGCTCAGGTAGGAGCTCCAGGCAGCATAGAAGAGCACCCGCCCGGCAATTTTCTTCCAGTCTTTCACATGTAGCCAAACTGGTATGACTGTTCGGGGACTTTCTTTGTTTTTTTTTTGTTTTTTTTTTTGAGACGGAGTCTCGCTCTGCCGCCCAGGCTGGAGTGCAGTGGCACGATCTCAGCTCACTGCAAGCTCCACCTCCCAGGTTCACGCCATTCTCCTGCCTCAGCCTCCCAAGTAGCTGGGACTACAGGCGCCCGCCACTACGCCCAGCTAATTTTTTGTATTTTTAGTAGAGAAGGGGTTTCACTGTGTTAGCCAGGATGGTCTCGATCTCCTGACCTCGTGATCCACCCGCCTCGGCCTCCCAAAGTGCTGGGATTACAGGCGTGAGCCACCGCGCCCGGCAGGGGGACTTTCAATGAATAAGACAGCCAGCTATCAGAAATGGGGGCCTCCCCAGCCGTGGGTCACCAGTCTTCTTCCAGGACACAGCCAAGTACTTGAGTTGGGGCCTCTGCTACAGAAACTCTGTACAGAGATCTCAGTGCGGAGAAAAGGGTCACCCTGTAGGCCATAGCTCTGCAGACCCAGGAAGGGGCCTGCCAGGTACTGTGCCTCCTGGCTTCCAGTAGGCATGTTTCAGCCCAAGTTGAATTAGGCCATCTCACTGTGGATCAGATTTAACGGTGAATTTCACTTTCTCAAATAACAACAAGAAAAGGCTCTGACAGCACCATTCTCATCAGGAAGGGAAGAGAAGGAACGCATCCCCTCTGGTTCTGAGGGCAGAAACGAACGCAGGACTCTCTCTCTGTGGCAACACGAAGGGGACTGGGGAGAAGTGGAGGCTGGGAGGCCAGGACCCCCGTGTGGACCCTGCAGGTGTTTTTATTTTGTTTGGCCCCCTGGACCCCTAAATACCACTTCCTCTCCCTCTGCCTCCTCGCTCTGCCGTGGGAGCTGTGAGCCCAGAGGCAGGATGGCCTTCTGCAGGGAGGACCCGACACCCCAGCCACACGCTGGCTGGAGGCCCAGAGCCTTCATCACAAGGCCGGGCATTTTTACTGGAACCCACAGGGCCAACTCCTGAGAATACAGACGCTGGAATTTCAACACCCATGCTGGATGCCCCAGGAATGGAATGTGGAGCCGAGAGGTGCCGAGCCTGGGGCGGGCAGGGAGACAGTGTGGGTCACACGGCCCGCGGGCAGATAGGAAGGTGAGGGATGGCACCCTCGAAGACAACGTAGAACGTATTCCACATGGAAATGAGGCAGGAAGCGTAGCCTTCTCTCCTGGCTGAAACAGCATGAAAGCAAGAAAGAACCGAAGGAAACAAAACTGCAACCAACGGCATCAGGGGAAGGACAAAGCCGCTGGGAGAGGAGCCGCCGAACCCCAGCAACAGCCTGGGCCCGAGGAGCTTCCTCCACGGAATTCCGAGCTGGGGAGCATAGCAAGGTTCTCTGCAGGCAGCTCCGTGGGAAGGCGTCTGGTGTCCGGGAGGGACAGTGAGCAGGCCTGTACCAGCACTGTGAGGACGGCTGTCTCGGCCTGAGTTTAGAAGCAGAAGCTGCGTGGGAGCGGGCGGGAGCACAGGATGACAGGGAGGCCTCGTGCCTCACACCCTTCTGTGTCACTCCAATTTTGAAGCATGTGCTTGTAACAGGTTTTTCTAGTTTTTTCAGACAGTCTCACTCTGTCACCAAGGCTCAAGTGCAGCGGCATAATCTCAGCTCACTGCAGCCTCCACCTCCCGGGTTTAAGAGATTCTCCAGCCTCAGCCTCCCGAGTAGCTGGAATTACAGGTGCCTGCCACCATGTCTGGCTAATTTTTTGTATTTTTGGTAGACATGGGGTCTCACCATGTTGTCCAGGCTGGTCTCAAACTCCTGACCTCAAATAATCCGCCTGCGTCGGCCTGCCAAAGTGCAGGCATGAGCCACTGTGCCCGGCAGATTTTTTGTTTTAACTGCATTTTTTTTAAATTTTTAATTCTTTCACCCAGGCGGGAGTACAGTGGCGTGGTCACAGCTCACTGCCACCTCAGACTCCCAGGCTCAGGTGATCCTCGCACCTCAGCCTCCCAAATAGTAGCTGGGACGACAGGCACATGCAACTACACCCGGCTCATTTTTTTGTAGCATTACATTTTAAAATAAAGGAAAAAACCTGCTGTCCAAGGAACTGCGGAAGAATAACATAGAGAAAATAAATGGAATAAGAAAATAAACAAATAAATGGAATGAGGCCCCCGCCCCAGGTCCAGAGCCACCTTGTGGAGAGGGTGCCTCACCCAGGCCGGCGTAGGTCCTCCGCTTGCTCAGGCTGGCCGACTTCACCAAGAACATGCACGACTGGTGCGTCATCCAGGAGCAGAAGACCAAGAGCAGCGCCCCCAGGACGATGCCGCACTGCAGGGTGGAGACAGGAACACATGTTCACAGCAGCAGGCGCTCCTCAGAGGCCCTCACCCCACACACCCAGCTCATGAGCACCCTCTTCACCCGCAGGCCCCGCTCCATCCCAGTCTCCTGCCGAACGCGACACTTCCTAGCACCGAAAGGCGCATTTCCTCAGTGTGGCGGCCGCGTGCCTCGTCCAGGGACAAAGCTGCATGCGCAGAGCATAGGGGCGCCATCTCCTTTCCAGTCCCCGCCTCAAGTCTTCATGGACGGCTGGGTGCTGCCAACTAATACCCCCTTGTTCTCTGCACATGCCCTATGTGCACCATCTTTAGCCACTTGAGTCCACAGCTATGAGTAATGAACACGTTCTAGAAGGAAGAGATTAACAGTGCCATTTTCCCCGTTCTCATAAGTTAAACAGACACTTACTGTGTGACCTGGGGATTAACTGCCCCCCCTAGGTACTCACTTACCCAAGAGGAATGAAAACATGTTCATGAAAAACCTGTATGCCAATGTTTACAGCAGGTTTATCCACAACCCAAAAATGGAAAAACAGCCCAAATGTCCTTCAACAAGCGAATGGATACAAACTGTGGTCCATTCGAATAAGGGAATATTTGTCAGCAGGAAAAAGGGATGACTACAGACACCTACCGTGACGCGGATGGGACTTGAACGCACTATGCTGAGCAGAGGAAGCTGGACTCTGAATGCTACAAATAGTGTCATTCTGTTTACAGGACGTTCAGAAAAGGTAAACTTTTAGGCCACGGAATAGATCAGTGTTGCCAGGGGCTGGGGGTACGGAGATTGGCTGGTGACAAAGGGGTACGTGGGGACCCTCTGGGAGATGGAGCTGTGTTCTAGGTTTGACTGTGGTGGTTACACAGCAAGCCCGTAACCTGCACCCTGAAGAGAGTCAATCGGCCAGGCGCGGTGGCTCACACCTGTAATCCCAGCACTTTGGGAGGTTGAGGTGGGCAGATCACGAGGTCAGGAGATCGAGACCAGCCTGGCCAACATGGTGAAATCCCATCACTACTAAAAATACAAAAATTAGCTGGGCGTGGTGGTGCACGCCTGTAATCCCAGCTACTTGGGAGGCTGTGGCAGGAGAATCACTTGAACCAGGGAGTCAAAGGTTGCAGTTCAGCTGACATTGTGCCACTGCACTCCAGGCTGGCGACAGAGCGAAACTCTGTCTCAAGGGAAAAAAAAAAAAGGCCAGGCGCAGTGGCTCACGCCTGTAATCCCAGCACTTTGGGAGGCCAAGGCGGGCGGATCACGAGGTCAGGAGCTCAAGACCTGGCTAACACGGTGAAACCCCGTCTCTACTAAAAATACAAAAAATGAGCTGGGCGTGGTGGTGGGCGCCTGTAGTCCCAGCTACTCAGGAGGCTGAGGCAGGAGAAGGGTGTGAACCCGGGAGGTAGAGTTTGCAGTGAGCCAATATCACAGCCTGGGCGACAGAGCGAGACTCTGTCTCAAAAAAAAAAAAGAGAGAGTGAATCTTGCTGCATGTCCACTACCTCCATCGAGGTGACACTTAAAACACAAGGACCGGCTGGGAGCGGTGGCTCACGCCTGTAATCCCAGCACTTTGGGAGGCTGAAGCAGGCGGACCACGAGGTCAGGAGATCGAGATCATCCTGGCTAACACGGTGAAACCCTGTCTCTACTAAAAATACAAAAAGTTAGCCAGGCGTGGTGGCGGGCGCCTGTAGTCCCAGATACTCGGGAGGCAGAGCTTGCAGTGAGCTGAGGTCATGCCACTACACTCCAGCCTGGGCGACAGAGCTAGACTCCATTTCAAAAAATAAAAATAAAAAAACACAAGGACCGCCGCCCTAGCGCGAGACGTCAGTCATGTGAACCAGGCAGGACGGTGACGGGGGAAGGGGTGCTGCAGTTTCCACTCTGTTGTTCTGTAGACTTAAAACTGCTCAAACGCGTAAGTCTGGCCGGGCGCACTGGCTCACGCCTGTAATCCCAACACTTCGGGAGGCCAAGGCAGGTGGATCTTTTGAGGTCAGGAGTTTGAGACCAGCCTGGCCAACATGGTGAGACTCCCACCTCTACTGAAAACACACACAAAAAATTAGCAGGCGTGGGGTGGGCACCTGTAATTCCAGTTACCCGGGAGGCTGAGGCAGGAGAATCGCTTGAACCCGGGAGGCGGAGGCTGCAGTAAGCCAAGATTGAACCACTGCACTCCAGCCTGGGTGACAGAGTAAGACTCCATCTCGGGGGAGGAAAAAAAAAAAAAACAAGTCTATTAACACCAAAAACTCATGAGGTATCAGCAAGCACTCATCAGAATGGCTCCAGTGGAAAAGACATGATACCCAATGCTACTGGGGACGCAGGCCAGCATGTGCGCCACTGACTGCATCCACATGGCAGTTCCAGAGCAGAGCACACACACCCTGGGGCCTGGTCACTCCACACAGGCACGCACCCAGCAGAAACGCACCCCTTGCCAATGCCTGGCCAACTCCTCAGGCCATCACAAGAGCTCCCAATAGGAGACACCATAAATACCTCGCAGGGATGAACTACACACAGGCACACACAGTGGTGCAGCAAATACCAGAGTGCAAGCCAGACACTAGCACTAGACACCTGCACGGCAGGATCCGCCTGCCTCAGTTCAAACCAGGCAGCACCACCGTGGCACACTAGGGGTCAGCAGTGTGCCCTGGGGTAGGCCGGCCACGGCCACGGAGTGTGCTCCTTAATTTGGGAGCTAGTCACACGGGTTTGTTCATTATATGAACATACATCAACAGCACATCTGAAGACGTGTGTACACATTTTTGTATGTCAAACTTCAATAAAATGTTTATTTTATATATATGCGCACACACACACCTTTTTTTTTTTTTTTTTTTTTGGAGACGTAGTCTCACCCTATTGCCCAGGCTGGAGTGCAGTGGCGCAACCTTGGCTCACTGCAACCTCCACTCCCTGGGTTCACGCGATTCTCTTGCCTCGGACTCCCGAGTAGCTGGGATTACAGGCGCCTGACATCGTGCCCAGCTAATTTTTGTATTTTTAGTAGAGATGGGGTTTTACCATCTTGGCCTCGCTGGTCTTGAACTCCTGACCTCTTGATCCACCCACCTCAGCCTCCCAAAGTGCTGGGATTACAGGCGTGAGCCAACGTGCCCGGCCATATATGTGTGTGTGTGCTTATATATATATATATATATGTACCAAAACTACTAAAACAAGCAAAAAAACCAACACTAAACCAAAGTTTTTCAATGACAAGGCTGCCAAACACTAATCACACATCCCCAAATCATCTGCTGGCCTCTCCCTGCGCCCCAGTCCAAGGAGGCTGCCGTGGAGGAGACGCTGCGGCCAGCTCAGAGCAACTGGGCCTCCCTCTCGGCAGCCCTCAGGACTCGGAGGGACGTCTCTCGTCCTTCACTTCCTGACAGGTCTGTGCAGATGCCTGACTAATCAGCACATGCTCTGGCAGGGGCCTAGTGTCCACCACATGGCAGGTGCTCCACGGCTGGAGACAGCTGGATCTTCTAGGCCCTAAGATGTATTTTCACAGGTGTCTACACCAGAGCCCCTTCCACGGTGGCACTTCACTGACAGGCGTCAAAGATGACAGCATTTGGGACCGGGCGCGGTGGTTCACGCCTGTAATCCCAGCACTTTGGGAGGCCGAGGTGGGTGGATCACCTGAGATCAGGAGTTCGAGACCAGCCCAACCAACATGGTGAAACCCTGTCTCTACTAAAAAAAAAAAAAAAAAAAAAAAAAAAAAATTAGCCAGCGTGGTGGCACATGCCTGTAATCCCAGCTACTTGGGAGGCTGAGGCAGGAGAATCACTTGAACCCAGGAGGCGGAGGTTGCAGTGAGCCAAGATTGCGTCAATGCACTCCAGCCTGGGTGACAGAGCAAGACTCCATCTTGAAAAAACAAAAAAACAAAGATGACAGCCTTTGACTTGCAGGAGGAGGACCAGTCACCACTCCACATCCCAGAATGCAGTTCTGCTGCCAGGCAAGTCACAGTGGACACTGGGACATGTAGTCGTTCCAGAAACACCCAGATGTGGCTGGCAGAAAGCTGGCATTCTCCACGTCCAGACCAGACGCTGCCGCGGGGGCTCTGGAGGCATGCAGCCCTGTCTTCCCCCCACAGGCTCACCAACCATATCAGGCAAACAACCCAGACACAAGAGCCTGGAGGGCTCTACAGAAAGGTCTGAAAATTCCTTGATCCAAAAAAAAAAAGTTTGTTTTTTTTTTTTTTTTAAGAGATGGGGTCCTGCTGTGTTGCCCAGGCTGGAGTGCAGCGGTGCAATCATAGCTCACTATAACCTCAAACTCCTGGGCTCAAGTGATCCTCCTGCCTCAGCCTCCTGAGCAGCTGGGACTACAGGTATGTACCGCCGTGTCCAGCTAACTTTTAAATGTTTGTATAGAGACAGGGTCTTACTTATGTTGCCCAGGCTGAAAACATTTTTTGGATATTTTTATCCCAAAGATAATGAATATGAAAAACACAGTGTTTGCTCATCTAAAATTAAACTACTGGTGCCATTTTGTTTCAAAATATACATCTTGTTTTCATTTTTCTACCTACTTGGTAACGTTTCAGTCAGCGTTTCTTTTCCAAAGCACTAAATGCCTGTTTACTGTGGATTAAACAGATGACACTTAGAAATGGCCATTTTCGTTGACATGTTATTCAATGCTGGAATGACGCTAAACTTTTTGTATATGAGATCTTTTTCAACTGTGGTAACATTTGCACACATTAGGTCAAACGTGCAGGTTTTTTTTTTTGTTTTTGAGACGGAGTCTCGCTCTGTCACCCAGGCTGGAGTGCAATGGAGTGATCTCGGCTCACTGCAACCTTCAGTTCATTGTAACCTCCGCCTCCCGGGTTCAAGCGATTCTCCTGTCTCAGCTTCCAGAGCAGCTGGGATTACAGGCATGTGCCACCACCTCCAGCTAATTTTTGTATTTTTAGT